AAAGTTTCCAACTTTATGTGCACAAACACATGAATAAGGGAATAAAGGCTAAAAGATGCCTAAAAGAGGTAGATCTAGGGCTAATATGCGAAATAGCTCCAAAAAGGCAATAGATCTGGGCTCTACAACTCCCAAATATACAGATCTAAAGATATCTCGGCATAAGAAGGCTTCCATATCAACACAAAGCTTGAGAAAGGCCTCAACTAGATCTAAAAAGGGCTTTTAAGCATAAAAAGGGAAAGAAACTTGAAGAATACCTCAAAGAGCTCTTGCTTTCCCTTGAATCTCTGCTCTACAATCCTTCTTCTTGCTCCTTTCTTCTTCTCCTTCTTCAAACCTTCACAAATGCACACAAAAATCACTCACAAACACTCAAGGACGAATTAGGGTTTTTCTCACAGCTTCTGAGGGTGAAGGAGGCGAGAATGAGGGCCATAAGATGGCTTAAATAGTGGGCAACCCGGGGATTTAGGGTTTCACCCAGACGGACAGACTCGCCGAGTCCGGAATATGGACTCGCCGAGTCTCCAGCTAACACGTGCTCGAAAACCCGTCCCTACTCGGCGAGTCAGGCTATGAACTCGCCGAGTCCCTCTTGCAAAACTTCAAAACAAATACCAAGGAATTAACATACCGGAAACGGGTCGTTACAGCCGCCCATAAGTCGTACGCTGGACGTAGCCTTTGTGTACGCGGGGCGTAGAGACGCATTGGATGCAGGGGGGACACATGAACGTACGCGCAGCGTACCAAGGAGTACGCGCAACGTACGTGAGCAGATTTCAAAACCCTAATTTTTAGGGTTTAAGCCATATAAATACCTCATTATGACAAAAACTCTAGCTTCCTTACCAGCCCCTTCACTCTAAGAAACCCTGCATATTCTCTCTTACTCCATTCTTGTGTGTGTTTGGCTTTTTGAAGCTTAGTTTGGTGAACTTGGAAGAAGAGAAGAGAAGTTGGAGAAGAAGAACTTGAGTATCTTGAGCTCAAGGATCTGGGATTTCCTCATCTTTTGGCACTCAAAGGAGGTATAAAGCTTTCAACTTTGCTCATAAAAGCTTAGATCTAGGTTTATGGAGCTTTGGACCTTTTTAGGTCCAACTAATGGATTTTTATGATGCAACTTCATTTGTAAGCTTAGGGTTGCTAACCTCAGAGCTAAAAGTGTCCCTTAAGCAGTAAAGTTTCAATCTTTAAGGCCTATTTGTAACCATGCATGAGATCTAGCCATTTCCATGAAGTTAGTTGTTATTTTTCCAAGTTTAATCTCACTTGGTGGGTTGCAAGCCATTAAGTGATCGACTTTATGGGTTAAGACAGATTATTGGACTCAGATGTGTAGTTTGGACAAAGTGTCTTAAGGGGTTAAGAGGTTTTGAAGAAAATGGATTAACAGAGTAGTAAGCTGGGCGTATAAGCCAGTATGCACAACATACAAGCCATGCAAGCTGCACACGTAGGGTACAGAAGAGTGCACTCATCGTAATCTTAGGTTTTGGGCTTTACAACAGTGGGCCTCGGTTTGGGCCAATCTTTGGGCTTAGCAGATATTGGGACGAAATGGGCCACCAAGAGTTAGTTAATGGACCAAGGACACGTTTGGACTTGGGAGGAAAGCCCATTTGAGGAGTTGTGCCCAATTTAGAAAATTAGGCCATTAGAGGGCTTTAATGGGCCATTAGTGAGTTTGGAGACATTAGAAGGGATTGGGCCTAGGTCATGGTCCAATTTAGATCAAGGGGGTAAAATAGTCATTTTACCCTTAGAAGGATTCTCAATTTTTGACTAAGTGTTTATATTGGCCATGAGAGTCAGAGAGTCGTTAGAGTAGTTGTCAGAGATACCCTCACACGATTTTTCAGCAGTCAGATTGAGAGGTGAGTCTTCCTTCAGTAGGAACGGGTCGAAGGCACCAAGGCCGGCCCGTTTATGTATGTTAGTATGTGCCGGGCTTCGATCCGATGCCGGGGCTAACCCGATGTAGAGTATGTGTTCCGGACTTCGGTCCGATGTCGGGGCAGTCCCGAGAAGTAGTTATGTATGCTTGATGTCCTTGTGATTCATGCATGTTATGTGTTATGTGTTCCGAGACTAGGTCCGATGCTAGGGTAATCCCAATGTATGCTAGTTTATATGCTTTGTGTTATGTGTTCCGGGCTTCGGTCCGATGTCGGAGCAAGCCCGATGTATGTTATGTGTTTATGATATATGTTATGCAGTATGTATGATGGGGTAAGCCCGATGCCAGACGGGGCCCAATGCCAGACGTGGTTTGATGTCGGGGTGAGTTCGATGCTGGGTTCGTCCTAATGCAGCTAGGAGTAGTCCCAAAGTTATGTTATTTGTTATATGTTATGTGTATGGTATGTGGTAGTTTGGGTGAGCTCACTAAGCTTCGTGGTTACATCTTTCAGTTTTGGTTTCAGGTACATCTGCTAGCAAAGAAAATGACTCGAGATGATCGCATAACACACACCACTGTTTATAGCATGGAATATTTACTCTGATATTTGAGATAACATTATGATATTTTGACAATTGATGGGATGTTTTTGAGACACATGTTTTCCAATATTTATCTGATGATGTTATTTATGTTTTTATTAACGAAGTAAAAAACGAAAATTTTGGACCGTATTTTGGGATGTTTCATAACTATTTTCCTACTTTTACTCTAATTCTCATCCTCTTACTTGATTTATATTTTTAAACAATATTTTTTATTATTAGTTTTTATTTTGACATTCTTATATCTTAATTGTTTGGTTAGTGTGTATCTAGTTGACATGAACAATTCTACTGTTCATAAAATATCGATGCTCGATGAAGTTTAAATTGAAGAAAACTAATATATAAATCTCACGGAGACAATAGTATTCTCTTTATTAACAGTTGAAGTAAAGATCAATTTTGTTTTCTAATTTGATTGAAAGTGTCCATATTTTGTTAGAGATTTACGACCTAAATTAAAATGATAATAGTATTCAAATGAAAAAAAATGCATTTACTCGATTTTTATTTAAAATTATGTATTTTAATAGGTTCTATATACAAGTTTATATACATGACAACTATATATTCACTAACCTCTCTCTTTATATATATATATATATATATATATATATATATATATATATATATATATATATATATATATATATATATATATATATATATATATATATATATATATATATATATATAACCATTTGTGCTTAAAAGGTATAGGTTAGTGAAATAATGTGACATCATATCATCTTATGCCATATTAAGAGACTATCTTTTCATCTTGTAATTTGAGAATTGACAACCCAAATGGACAATTCGAGCAAAGTGAAGAAGCCGAGGGACAAGGGGATAAGTGTTGGAGTAGGTCGAGGGATGTTAGACCCGAAGTCGTTGGACATGCATTCATATGTGTAGCTGGGCTTGACTCACCTATAAATACATATGGAGTCTCATATTAACTCTCTAAAAGAGCCGTTGTGGAGAGAGGGGATGCTTCAATATATATAGACATTTATAATACCATGTTACGTTGATATGAGATATAATATCACTCCCGCTCAGAATCAGAGGTTCAATGAGGACCGACATGGATGTGTTGAGCCATGAGGGTGCCAGATGCTGACTTTATACCGTGTAAATATATATGAAACCTCATATTATCTGTCCAAAAGATTCCTCATGAAAGAGGGGAGACTTCAACATATGTAACCATTTATAAGACCGTGTCATACTTTATGAGATATTGAAACAACATCTGTTCGAGTAGTGTATTGTACTTTGCCTAAATAATACAACTAATAAATAGGGGTTTATTGCAATATCGTTTTCAAGCTCGTGGATAAGAATACTTGCTCTTATATTGTAAACGTATGTCACATTGATGGAAACATATTACATACTCTATCTTTATATGTATTTTGTTCTGCTAATTAGCCACTCTAGAATGCATAACAATTAGGTCATAACATTTTAACTTTTACTTATTACCTTGGAGCAAACCCATGTTGAAAATTGATGCATACATTAGCGTAATCCAAATTAGATGCGTACATTAAAGTAAACCCAAATTTGGTGTAAACATATTTAAAAAAACATTTTTTACACCAAATTTGGGGTAACATTAATTTGATACATACAATGGAGATACTCTTTCACGCACTTACCTTGTTTTCAAAACATAGGTGAAAAACCACAACATATTTATCAAAACAATTATGGATGTAAGAATTAAAAAAATTATTAGTAAAAAGCCGGGATGGATTACAAAAGGATGAAATTATGTTTTTTTTTTCTCCCACCGCAAAACCGGGTAACCATGTAAATAAAAAGTTTTTATTAGGCTAAAAAAATTGTTAAATAACTAAATCGGTAAAATAATAAAAAATACTTCCTAATTTTCTTATATTTTATTGTCAAATGTGTTTATATACTTTATAAATGTTTTCAACCGTTTCTTTCTATATCAAACTTGATAGACAACAATAATAAATTTTAGAGAATTATATTCAATAGAAACAAAGCTCTTCCTTAAAATCTCAGCGACCCTATATATGTTTATAATAATTGAACTCACTCTTCTTATTTTTAATATGAATTTTATTAAATTGATTTTATATTTTGCTTATCTGAAAATTCCTTTTTTTGCCGCGGATTGTTTGGTCAATCCGGCCCGGATTTGCCAATATATTTTAGACTAGTTAATAGAAGGATGAATTATTGAAGATTTATGCACCACAGGAACCATACCCGAACATTAATTTACGATCGACGTGGTCATAAATGAGTCTTTTATCATGATATAATAAAGTTCACACCGTGGGGTCGTTCCTTCTTGAAAAGAAGCCATCATGTACATTCATGTTTTTTGTAAGCTGACTAAGCTCAAAGTACGTACATAATCATCTTTTAAACGTTTCAATTAAAATCTACTCCAGACTTGCATTATATATATGCATTTAACGTTAGCCACTACTTACTATAGCTAGCTTCAAATCTTAATTAAAATGGCATGCAATATCCGAATGGTATCTCTCCCTTGTGTGAGAAAAGTGATACCCGCATGCCTCGAGCCAGTGACTTTGAACACAAACCTAAATTTCAGAAGTACATCTTTTACAAAGAAACCGAATAGTCATGTGGTGCAAGAGAAAACTCCCACTCCAGGAAAGTTTGGAATCTTTGGTGGGAAGTTTGTACCTGAAACCCTGATCTCCCCCTTAGAAAAACTTGAAGCTGAATTCAACTCCATTTTGGAGGATCATGAATTTAAGGTTAGTCACCAAATATATTTTCAAGCAATCTTTAGCCACGATTAAATTTGAAGGCCAAGCCACGTATATGCCAATAATCATTGGAAAGTATTATGGGTATGAATTCGGTTAAGAATATTGGTCATGATCTTTAAATTAAACCTTCGGTTTTAGATCATTTCATTTAAAGTGTTGGAACAGAGTGGAGTTTTTTCTGAATAATTAGCCAATGATTCTTATATTCATAAGATCTGTTAGTCTTTGTCACAAAAAGAAATTGATTTGATTTTTAAATATGATCCACATAGGCGGAGCTAGCAGCTGCACTAAGGGATTACGTTGGACGTGAAACTCCTTTGTACCATGCCCATAATCTCACAGATCATTACAAGAACATCAACGGAGAAGGGCCTGAAATATATCTTAAAAGAGAGGATCTCGGCCATGGAGGATCATACAAGATGAGCAACGTCATTGCACAAGCACTTTTGGCCAAACGAATGGGCCAAAAGAGCGTTATAACAGCTACGAGTGCTGGCAACCATGGTGTTGCAGCAGCTGCTGTGTGTGCTAAGTACTCCTTAGATTGTACTATTTTCATTGGAACCAGAGATATGCAGCGAAATCCCTCAAGTGTTCAACGCATGAAGCTGCTTGGAGCTCAGGTACTGCTTTCCGCTTCTCAAGTCCAATTAAGCACCCAATTCCCCAAAGTAATTCTTTATAGTATCAAATTAAAGAAACTAAGTTTTCAAACAATTGTGTAATTACAGGTTAAGGCTGTTGATGGGAATTTTCAGGCAGCAGTATCGGAATCAACTAGGTCGTGGATAGAAAACCTAGAAACTGGATATTACTTAGCAGGAACAGCGGTGGGCCCACACCCTATCCCTACAATGGTCCGTGAATTCTATTCGGTGATTGGAAAAGAAACAAGGAAGCAAGCAATGGAAAAATGGGGTGGCGTCCCGGATGTGTTGGTTGCTTGTGTAGGGACTGGTTGCAATGCTTTAGGTTTGTTTCATGAATTCATAGGGGATGAAAGTGTACGGATGATTGGAATTGAGGGAGGTGGAGTAGGAAGTAACACCAGAGATTTACATTCTGCAAGTCTTGTAAGAGGTGAAGTTGGTGTTTATCATGGAGCCATGTGTTATTTGCTACAAGATGGAGATGGCCAAATCATTAGAACCGAGTCAGTGGCTAGTGGGTATGTATTATTGAATATATTATAGAGTGCTTTAATACTTTGAGCAATTTTTTTTTTTCTTCGAGATTTAGATTCTTAATTAAGGAGTAATTTGGTAAATTTGCAGATTGGAGTTTCCAGGAGTAAGCCCAGAACTAAGCTTTCTAAAAGATTCTGGCAGACTTGAGTGTTACACAGTTACTGATCAAGAAGCTCTTGATGGTAAGTATGCGAATAACTTTTATATATATATATATATATATATATATATATATATATATATATATATATATATATATATATATATATATATATATATGGACCCTGTGCTAAAAAGAAAAATGATGTTTTCTATAAATACTCCCTATTTTCATTTGATTTTTTATATTTTATTGTTTTTTTTTCCTATTTTGTTTAGTTTTGTTTATTATTATTATTATTATTATTATTATAAATTTCGAACATAATTTTATAATTCGAACGACGTTATAAAATTCGAACGACTATATAAAATCGATTTTTAATTATTTATTTATTATTATTATTATTATTATTATTATTAATAAAAGAAAAAGCAAAAAAAAACAAAAAGGAAAAAAAACAAGAAAAAGGAAAAAATGATTTCAAATGAAATGTAAAAGATTGATTAGATTGATGTTAGGGGTAAAATAAATTAAAGGGGATACTTATCTTAAACCAAAGGTTTCTTATGTAATTAATACCAATAAAAGAAAATGAAAATGAAAGAGTAAAAGATGCTAGTACGGTTAGGTTGGGTCATACGATTCAATTATTTAAATGTAATTTCAATAGGTATAACTTTCAACGTTTTTCCGTTTCTTTGTTTTTTTATTATTTATTTATTTATTTATTTATTTATTTTATAGTTTTATTGGATTGGGCTATTTCATTTAAATGGACTGATGTATTAGACTATTTTAGAAAGATCAAAATAAAAATATCGACTCATATAAATTGACATATATATATATATATATATATATATATATATATATATATATATATATATATATATATATATATATATATATATATATATATATATAATATATATATATATATATATATATATATATATATATATTAGTTAGGTCCTAGAAAACTATAAGGTAGTTCATATTTTCTTTTTTTATCTATAACTTACACCTTTTTTAAAATATATGAGTTTTAGGACACACCTTCACTTAAGTTAGATGCACGATTACACCATGTGTTGCACCTAATTTTTGGACAATTATTTCAGGATACAAAAGATTATGCCATTTTGAAGGGATAATACCAGCATTAGAGGCCTCTCATGCTTTCGCCTATCTCGAAAAGCTTTGTCCTACACTGCCTCATGGCGCAAAGGTTGTGGTTAATTGCAGTGGCACTGGGTACAACGACGTCTTGCAGTCCTCAAAATGAAATATTATAGTTGTCTAAAAATTCATTAGATTTGGTTTAGTTTACAAACGGTACCGTAGGATGGTAGTTGCATACTTTCATATATGTATAGAAGCATATAAAGTACACCGTATAACAAGAATACATTGTCGGAGTTCATGCAAGAAGATAGAAGTAAGTTTACATGTCAAACAATGCTCATCTGCAATTCCTAGGAAGGGAATGGGATGGGAAAAGGATGAATATAAGGATGGATATAACCAAACATATATGTTGTAGAGGTTTTTCCCCTCCAATCTAGATTACAAGGATGGATATAGCCAGGCATATATGTTGTAGCGTTTTTTCCCCCACAATTTAGATTACAGTTGTGTGGTAAAAATGCAAAGATCGTATGCTTGTTAATTGATAATTACCAAATTTCCGATTGATTTCCTTTCCAAATATTCCATATATAAATACAATAAACATGGACCATGAGCCACTAATACAAAGTGGCAAATCATACAATATGAGATAAATATACTAATACCCCCACAATGTATCAGGGGGGATGATTTTGGACATTCATACTAGATCAAAAATATGAAAATAAGGTAATTTCATTATCAAGATATTTGCATGTTGTGAATTATGAAAATGAGGCCAAAGATAACTTTCTCCCAGGTAAAGTGAATATCAACTTTAATGTGTATTGTGCACTGATGCTGAATGAGATTATATGTCATATACACAATGTTGCATTATTAGATATTATCACAATACACAATCATTGATTTTGTATTTCTTGCAAAAGCTTGTATATCCAACATGTTTCACAATACCGATGTGATATTGACCCAATAATAATGTTGCATAGCTGGTCACAGCTGGTGTTCGTCGTTGTTTGGCGATTATCGACGATAAGCACTGGTCTTTGCGTCTCTGGTTTCTACGAAGGAAAGTTATTAAAGCTAATATGAAGGATCTTTGGGGAGGAAGATTGGTCCATATAATGTGGTGTTGATGTTGTGAAAGATTGCAAAAATCCTTTTCCTTCAAGAAGCACACACTGATTGGGTTTCCATGAACGTAGGCAAAAATGATTGGTTCCTAAGAAAATACGGACTTGATAATAAGATCATATTCTAGCATTTTTTTTTAGAAAAATGTAATATAATAAACCTCGTCTTTAGATCTTTTTTTAATGTTATAATGTTTTTTTTATTTTTTTTTATTTTCTACTAGTTTATAACCCATGAGAACCATAGTTATAAAATTTATTAAACTTTGATATTAAAAAATCAAAAGTATTAATCAATTATTTTAAATAAATGATTGCTTAAGAGGTATTTTTTAGTTATATAAAATTATAATCGTTGATTTAAATAAATACGGGAAGTTACATCACCTTATCATCTGTATTAATTTTATTTTACTTTTTAATATAATGTTATTAATTTAATATAATTAAAATGAAAAATTTTAAAATTTGAAATTTAAAATGGAGAATCAATTATTAATTTAAGGAAATTAGAATGAAAAATTTAAAATTTGAAATTTGAAATGAATAATTAATAGGTTGACAAGTGATATGATAGATGATATATCTACTCTAATAAATGATTTTTTTTGCTATATTTCATATTCTTATTCAATTTGTCAAATGTCAATTTATGGTTATTTTGAATTAATTTTTTTTTTCATATGTCATTTTATAGGTTTTTCTATTTTAATAAATTCCACATAGTATTTTAATATAATAATTACAATAAAGGTAGTAATAAATTAATATTAATTTCATTAATCAACTTTCCTTCTTATTTTAAAATTCCCAATTTTAAACTCATTAGTTTATTTTGTTTGTTTATTTAAATTAAAAAAAATAAAAAAAATGGATTTTAATATTTCATTATTTTTTTATTTTCTTATAAATCCAAAATTATTAAATATTTAAACCTTTATATTTAAAACTTTTAGTTAAGTCATGTAATATATGGGTCTTACACTTAGTAATATTAATGAAGAGATCTAATATTATAACACTTGTCAATCATTATATACTTATAAAGGAAACATTTTTCCTTTCACCATATTCGTTTGAAACTCCCATGTATTTTTTTCTTTCACCACATTAATTTGAAACCCCCATGACTTTTCAATTTCTTTCTAATAATATTTATAATTTTGTTAATTAAGTTAAACAAATATCAAATCAAAAGTGCAGTCATATATAAGCTAAATTTCAATATTAAAATAATATCTTTACTTCTACTTATAAGGTTTAGTTTTTTAACTTTTAACATATTATACTTAATTTACTAGTTTTAATATATTGTTAGATGTAAACCATTATCATTTTAAAGATATAATTCTGGAACAGTTTTTATAAAACACTTAAATTATTAATTTAAATATAACATTACACGGTCAACTTAAATATAAATTTTAGATTAACTTAAACAACCAAAATAATATATTGTAAATAGTTAAAAGTGATAAATTGTATTGTCTTTCTAATAATGATTATAAGTTGGTTAATAAGGTTAAATAAATATCAAACCTAAAGTGTAATTATAAGTCAACTAAAATTTAATTTTAAAATAATATATTTACTTCTACTTATAAAGTTATGTCTTTAACTTTTAACATATTATACTTAATTTATTATATTTAATATTTTGTTATATGTAAACCATTATAAGTTTAAAGCTACAACCTTTGAACATTTTGGATAAAATATTTAAATTGTTAACTAAAATATAACATTACAATGTCAACATAAATATAAATTTTAGTTCCATTTAAAAATAAAAAAACTATTTTATAAATAGTTAAAAGTGATAATTTGTAGTGATAAATGCAAAAACTAAATTGCAATCTCTTTAACTAAAATATTACTAAATATATTTTTATAATGGCTAAAAGTTCTCAAATGAGTAGCTTAAAATAACTTATAATAACAATAATTAAAAATAACTCTATATAAATGATTATATTGTTACATTTAAAATCAAAAAATAATGTTTGATGTTTTAAATAATTATAATGATGGAATTTAAAACATTAAGCAAATCAATTTTAAAAAATTAGAAGGAAGCAGTTTTCCTTTCACCACATTCATTTGAAACTCCCATGTATTTTTTCCTTTCACCACATTCATTTGAAACCCCCATGACTTTTCAATTTCTTTCTAATAATATTTACAATTTGTTAATTAAGTTAAACAAGTATCAAATCTAAAGTATAGTCATATATAAGCTAAATTTCAATATTATAATTACTTCTACTTATAAAGTTATGTTTTTTAACTTTTAACATATTATACTTAATTTATTAGTTTTAATATATTATTGAATGTAAACCATTATCATTTTAAAGATATAATTTTGGAACAGTTTGTATAAAACACTTAAATCATTAATTTAAATATAACATTACACAGTCAACTTAAATATAAATTTTAGATTAACTTAAACAACTAAAATAATATATTGTAAATAGTTAAAAGTAATAAATTGTATTTTCTTTCTAATAATGATTATAAGTTGGTTAATAAGGTTAAATAAATATCAAACCTAAAGTGTAATCATAAGTCAACTAAATTTTAATTTAAAAAGAATATATTTACTTCTACTTATAAAGTTATGTCTTTAACTTTTAACATATTATACTTAATTTATTATATTTAATATGTTGTTATATGTAAACCATTATAAGTTTAAAGCTACAACCTTTGAACATTTTGGATAAAATACTTAAATTGTTAACTAAAATACAATATTTCAATGTCAACATAACTAGAAATTTCAGTTCCATTTAAAAAACAAAAAAATATATTTTATAAATAGTTAAAAGTGATAATTTGTAGTGATAAATGCAAAAATTAAATTGCAATCTCAATTTAACTAAAATATTACTACACATATTTTTATAATGGTTAAAAGTTTTCAAATGAGTAGCTTAAAATAACTTATAATAAGAATAGTTAAAAATAACTCTATATAAATGATTATATTGTTACATTTAAAATCAAAAAATAATGTTTGATATTTTAAATAATTATAATGATGGAATTTAAAACATTAAACAAATCAATTTTAAAAAATTAGTTAACAATAATAACAAATATAAATAACATTAAACCATATATTAAATTTAATTTTATTCATGTATAACTCACGAGTAGAATCATTCAAACGATTGAGATTATGAAGTTATAATAGATGTATATATTATCATATAATTCAAAATAATCAATATATTGTTTGAATTTAGTATACAAACTATTATATCAAATTTAACAACAGTGTTATTATTATATTAAAAAAACCTATTTTTATAAAACTTCAACTATACAGATATTTCTACGCATTACAATGTTAACTTAAATATAAATTTCAATTCCACTTGAATAACCATAGAATATTTTGTAAATAGTTAATAGTGATAAATTGTAGTCATAAATACAAAAACTAAATTGTAGTATTAGATTAACTGAAATATTTCCTAAATATATATTTTTGTAATTTTTAAAAGTTTTCCAAATAAGTAGTTTAAAATAATTGTTAAGAACAATAATTAAAAATAACTCTATATAAATGATTATATTCTTACCTTTAAAAAAATGTTTGATGTTTTAAATAATTATAATGATAGAAATTAAAAAATTAAGCAAATAAATTTTAAAAAATTAATTGACAATAACAACTATAAATAACATTAAACTCTATATTATATTTAATTTTATTCATGTGTAAGTCATGGGTAGAAGTCATTCAAACGATTGAGATTATGAAGTTATAATAGATGTCTATATTACCATATAATTAAAAATAATCAATATATTATATCAATTTAGTATAAAGATTATTATATCAAATTTAACAACAACGTTATTGTTATATTGAAAAAACATATATTTATAAAGACTTCAACTATATAGTTACTTCTGCGCAATGCGCGGGCATTCGCCTAGTATGATAATAAACCTATTCATTTATTAGGATAAAAAGATTTGTTTTTGGCTATAAGAGAGGACGACACACGTGCATCCAAGACAAATGTTTTTCACAATGAATCTTAATCGTCTAAAAACCAAATGAGTGAAAAAAACAACAGGCTGACACTTGAGAGTTAGTTATTTTTTTCGTATTAAATCTTAACTATCCAATTTTACATATAAGCGACAACGATTTGTCAACGTGGTTCTTGTCGTATTTTTGTTTCTACACGATGAGACTTATATACATTGACACCCAGACCCACCCACCCCCACACACATGCATACACACACAAATATATATATATATATATATATATATATATATATATATATATATACACACACACACACGCATATGTATGTATGTATATAAGAGAAAATGTCACTATAGCCCATTAATGTTTTCCTTTTGGTATGATTAGGCCATTTATTTGTTTTATTTGTTTATTTTTTGTGTGCAATAGGTCACTTAAGTTTTGTTGGAACTCTCAAGTAGGGGATTTAGACCAATTTTAGCAGGTTAACTGGTAATGGCTAGTGTACATGGATAAAACTTGTCGACGTGGTGGATAACTCTTCCCAAGTGTGTTTACAACACATCGATTCCAACTAGAAGGTTATTACCTTATTTTAATCATCATTTCACTCCTTATTCACTTATTGAGCTACATAAAAAAACCATAAGCATAGTGCATCGATGTTTTCGTCTTCTTCTTCGCCTAAAGTGATCCAACGACTAAGGATCATACCATATTAAGGAGATGCAACTGTAACTTAATCGCCATGTAACAAAGGTCGTGGATCTGGGAGAACCCTGGATGTCACTTTTGGATTTGTCTTAACTCACTAGTACGGTTTCAATTTTCATACATTAACTGAAATAAGATGTATTCTGGGTACGAAATGTTATTTATTTGATAAAACCCCTAAAGTTTCTGTATTCAAAACCGTACTTTGATGAACCTAAAATGTTGTTGGTTTTCTTTGCAAAAATGTACCTAATAAACCCTAATCCATGGTAATGTGTTTTTGAATGTATGAAAAGGGACATTAAGTGTAACATTCTGATTCTTGGAGGTAATTATATGTAATTTTTCACTTGAACTTCAGAAGTGACCACGTTGTGGTAAAGGCATCCCACGACATGGCATTGTAGGAAGGTTCGTGGATCATTTAGTGATCATCACGATGTGGCATTTATTGGCCACGACGTGGAGACCATATATCATGAAAACCCTAATTTCCAGGTTTTTAAAGGAAAGTGGGGGTGCTAGGGTTTGCCCATTTTCAACATCAATCACCCTCAAACCCAGAAACCCTAACCATATTCCTAATTGGTTCTCTTGTACTCATTTTAGTGATCTTGAGGTAGTTTTGAAGAAAAAAGAAAAAGATTTGGTGCTTGGTTCAACAAGTGATCATTTCTGCATTTGGTGTGCATCTTCAGGACTCCTTGTAAGTGATCAAGCTTCAACCTTTTTGTGTTCTTCTTCACAGATCTAGCTTTTGCAGCATGATTGGAACTTTTTAGAGTAATTCGAGCTATATTAAGAGATTAAATTTCCAACTTTATCCATTAAGGTGGTCCAAACCACCTTGATCTAGACTTTAAGTCTTAAAAGGACCCAAAAATTCATCTTTCTCAACTTAATCCATCAAGTCCAAGTCTCCAACTTTCAGATCTAAATCCATAAGATGTCTAGATGGATAAAGTTTCCAACTTTATCCATAATAATCCCATAGTCCTTTAAGATCTAAACTTTATTGCACCAAAATAACCTAAAGGACCAAGATAACTTGCATGGATAAAAAGGAAGGCAAAAGTTCATATTTTCCTAGTCCATGACGTCCAAGAAACACTCCAAAGTAATCAAAAGGCGTTGAAGTCCACTCAAATCCAAGATCACCCATAAAATGGTCGAAAAGTCTCAAAAACCACATATGAAGAGATTTAAAGAACAAAAGAGCAAGATTGGAACGTTATACTTACAATAATCCAGAAATGTTGTGTCGTTGATGGATCCTAGCTTGAAGCATCATTCATTGCAACCAATAAAAACCTCCTTAATCTTTGTGTTTCATCAAAATATTATAAAAACCATTCAAAAGATGAGAGAGGAGAGAGGAGTGGCTTAAATCTTGAAGGTGAAGGCTAGGGTTTCTCCTAAAGGGTCTTAGTGTTGGTGGAGGCTGATAAAATGTACAAAAATTTTGAACATTAAGCTTAAACATGATGAAAACCCTAAAATCATGGGTTAGGACTAACACGTCACCTCCTCATTATCTCGACTCAATACTCTACGGTTACTACCACCTCGTGGTCCGAGTCATCATGCTGTGGTGACCACCACCTCTTGGTCCCGTCACACCATTCCGTGGTGATGGTTTTCGACTAAATCATATCCCTCTTCAAACAATCATAGGTTCTTCATTGCAACTCTGTTTTCAGCGATCCTTATATCTACGAAAAGGTATTGACAAGACCCACACTTCTATCTACTTAATTTTGGCTTAACAAATGCTGAACTAAACACCATAATCCATAAAGGAAGGCCGAAACATTACTTTCCCATTTTCCCGTTTGACCCCAAAACACAAAACCAAGGATTAGATCATATAACCAATATTATCAACATCCAATAGGTTCTAAACTCTATTCCTTTGAAGCCCAAGGCTTTTACTTGGACCATTTATGGTCCACAATCCTGAAAGAATAGAGAGTGAAGCATCAGTATGAATATATATATATATATATATATATATATATATATATATATATATATATAATCTGGCATCTTCGTAGTAGCTTGATTTTAATATCATTGCTAAAATCACACCGTATTTCTTTTTAATTTTGATTTACATTCAAGTGCTTGAGAGGTTATGAATTGTGGTTGTCATACTCATGGTTAATGCATAAATGATAAATATGCTAGCTTACCCTTTTTAGGATTTTGGTTAATATTTTTGGTTTCAAAGTTACAAATTAGTTATAATCTGCAATCTTTAGTATTGAGAATCGAACATTCTTTGCCCATATATTCGTAATGCATTAGTAAATATAGCTAATGAATTAATGTGAAGCTTTTTGAAATAGAAGAAGCATCATTAATTATAGGTATGACTTTTCACACTTATGTACCCACAAACTAGGTTATAACATATGTACTACTGATAATATTAAAATTTAAATAATAAATAAAACATTTTATTTAATGATAAATTACAAACAAATATTTATATATAGTATGTATATTGGTAAACTTATAACGTTCCATTATGTATAAATAATATTTTAAATGTATACAAATTTTAAATAATTTTCAATTTGGTGCCAAAATGACGATTGCTAAATTTTTTTTGGCTACAAACTATATATATGAGCTATTTATATAGAATAGATGAAAATATATGAACCTATTCAAATTGAAAATAATTGTTCCCTAATTAAATTATTGAAATTTGGTTTAGAAGAATAAAAATCAAGGACATTGATTTATTCATGATTTATTGTCTAATAGCTTTCTTAATTTCGGGTTTGATATAGTAAAATATAAGGGGATTTGAATTTAAATAAGTTTAAAAAGTATTATATTGCTTAATATTAGGGGACTTGAAATTTGAAAGACAAACAAATAGACTTTAGAAAAGATTTCACGTGTACAACATATTGTTTGATAGAGTGATAAGTACCATATTTAAGTTTTGTTTATAATAAGAGGTAGATTATCTTTCAAACTTTGTGAGAACTTTAGTATGTGATGTTAAACTACATGTTGCAGATGGAACCGAGTCTTGATGTTATTCTCGTGTAAGAAAGCCATGGAGATTTGATATATATATATATATATATATATATATATATATATATATATATATATATATATATATATATATATATATATAATTATGTTGGAATTCTTTTTTTTTTAAACGCCATTGAAGACTTTATTTTTCTAATAGCTGGTTTCAAGGATACCACCATTAATACTCGATTTGTCAATTTTCATACAGATGTTGTTATGTGGAAGGTGACATGCAAAAAAATTTATAAAAATGTTAATGGATGTTCAAGCCCAAATCACCCTTTATCGTTTATTGATATTGAATCCCTAATTACATTCATCGCTTATGAAGGTTAAAAAAGGAAAATGGAAATGGAACAAGGATTAGAAGATGAAGAAACATCTCAAATCATCTTTATTGGAAAGGTTTGACTATTTTTTTTACCATATTCATCATAATTTGTATTCAAATATGTTGAATTTCGCAATTTTAATAACTTAACATGCTATAAAATGTTTGTTTTTAAAAAATTGCAAAATATTAGAGGCATTGGAGTGCACCACACCATAATATAGGCATCAAATGATGAATGTTGGAGGCATCCTACATGGTGTCTATGTGGCACCAATTGTGAAAGTCAATTCAAGGCACCAAAACCTTTAATCTAACAAAATTAAAAATCATATATATATATATATATATATATATATATATATATATATATATATATATATATATATATATATATATATATATATATAAAGTGAACTTGAAATTTATTTCCCAACATAAGTATCTAACCAAGGAATAGCTAAACATTGGATACAAGTGCTAAGCCGGAAGTAAGAGTTGTTGCATGTAGCTTAATCCAGGTTACCAGTTTAATTCTAATCCAGACAACACAAAAGACGGAAAATCTCTAATGAAACCCAACAGAAAAAAAAGCGTTTGGGAATTTTAACTAGTATTTAATCGACAAGGTCTAAATTTACTCTATAATCTTCAAGATATGCAAAGTCAATACCCGAACATTGATAAACCTTGAAAAATTCTAATGGAAGGATCGTTCTGGTTCGTTCTTGACTTCTTTCATCTATTCTTAATGATAACAGAGAAATTTTCGCCTGCAAAGATGTTTTCCCCTTTCCTTCACACCACTGCAAGGTACATAAATTCAGAGATATAATCAAAACATAATGTTATAACCCCAATTAGTATGTGACTGATAAGGTATACACCACGCGTAGGAGTAGCCACATCAGTGCAACACCCATCCACCACCACCAGTACACTATTTGGGTTAACCTAATTAATGCGTGTTAAAAAAATGAATACTTTGAGATCTGATGTAACCAAGTGAGGTTGATGGCTGTTTTACCTTATTAAATCCCCATTGCTTTACTCATATTAGAAGCTACTGCAACTTTGATTCTTTCAACCGTGGACTTAATAAGACTATTAGCTATTGCCACCGATCCTAGTGACAGTTTGGATGTAGGATCCGAATCTACTAAAATCTGGAATGCGATGGTGAGTAATGATCCACCAGTTCCACTAACAAGAGCTCCTCCTTCATCATCTACTAGTCCATCAGGAAGTATGGCAAAACCAGATGGAAGCAACGCAAACATAATCTGGATCACCTCCATTTAATGCAACATTCATCACACCAATATCCACTGGTGCATATATAACATATGAACATGTAGAATCGGTTGTACTCTCTTGTAGGATGAGAATGTTGCTCTGACTTGAATTGGCACTCTACAAGGTAAACAACGTGAAAGTCATCTGATTAATAAATTGGAAATTGATTAAGATGTTTAATTTTAGACCTTACATTAACACGCAAAAGGGAAACACAATTTCCTGGATCACGGCCGTTGGCAATGTGTGCGATTTCTTCAACATGCCCACAATTCGAAAGGATGTCCCACTGGATGTATAAAATAGAATTAAAGAGATAATTTCATATGAATATATATAAGGTTTTATATTAAAGGCTAGCTGCATAATTACCTCATTCCTAGAGTTCTCATCACGGAGAAAATTGAAAAGCTATTTTGGGTGAACTGGTAACCAAAATGAAGTTGCAGCACTTAGCACAATACCAGAAGGCCTGCCTGGATCATCTACACTCTTTCGGGTCATTACACGCACATCATCTCCTCCACTACCAGATAAACTTGTCCATGTGTGAGCAGTCGAAGCACCAACCCCACTACAGAAGCTCAAAACCATTCTTTCTGCTAACTTTAACATACTCTTTCGCCCTTTTGGAGACGTTATAACTATAAAAAGAATGAATAGGATAATCAATAATTGATTTTATTAAACGATACTAGAAAACATCTTTAATCAGATACTAGGAAAGATATGATTGTGAACTAGGACACTTGCCTCCAACATCTCCTGCAGGAATATTGCTAGCCATTGCACTTGCAAGTCGTTCACTTTGTCTATCTAATGTGGCTACCCATCTTTTTTCACCAAATGCAAGACCAGAGTTTACTAGTACCTTATAGATATCATGAACGTCCCCATTATCAACTTCAACATGTTCAATCCAAGTGACCTGGAAAACAAAAACTAGACATGATTTGTGAAATCCGTTTACTTCATCAAAGCTAAAATAATACATTGATTGAAGCTAGAGAGTGTACCTTTGAGTAACCATTAAGAAGTTCTTGAATCAAGCAGCCAGAGGGCCTTCTCCTAAATCTTGAAATTGACGATGAGCCCATATTATCCATGGATACATCAACAACCGCCCACGTCCCATCACCATGTTGTTTACAATACCGAACGAAATAGTTTTCTCGTGTTGGAACGAGTGGTGAAGGAATCTGATATTCAGCTCTCATCTAGACAAAAAAAAAAAAAAAACTATTTAGAACAGTATAGAAATAAATACAATTGGGGTTTCATTGTATAGCTCACTACAACAAATACAAGTATACTACACTTCATTTCTCCACTATTTATCTTGACATGCAGATACAGTAATCTTTTTGATACTAAACATATGTGAAAAATACTTCCTTAAGTACTGTTACATCTAAATATACATATGTAAAAATAATAATTACTAAAGCCACATGTTCTCGCAATAGGCCTTTTGAAATTGGCTAATGAATATGTTTCTGGGGAAAATTTCACAATGACCATTTTTACAACCTACTACGAGTAAATATCTTAGTTGTTTATTACCAACATTCAACAAAAACCGATACTCCTTTATAGCTAGGCATTGACATGTGAGTTGAATTCTTCCTCTTGAGGAGTAATTTTGTTTCTTATTGGTTTCCAAGTCTTAAGGATCACGAACTAAATATCCTATTACTTTTCTTCGTACTTATCATCCTACCAATGTAAAATTACCTACCAATGTAAAATTATGACAAATATCTTTTAAACATGGGTGTATTTAGAAAAAAATACAAAGGTTTATATATTTCAGAAATTTAAATTTATATGAAAAATTAGAAAAATATTGAATTAATAAAATTGAATTGTTTTTTCTCTTTTAAAGATAAACAAATAATTTAGATAAATAAATAAAATAAATTAATAGAGCCTTAATTTAGAAATTTAGAAATTAGAAGGTTAGCTCATTAATAAAATTGATATTTATTTATTATTACATTTATTCTAAATATTAAATTATATATTATGTGAAGTTTAATAAAATTAAAAAATCACAAAATGATATGAGGAAAAAATAATAATATAAAATAACCACAAAATAAAATTTTAAAAAAATAATAAGAGCATGACATGTGGCAAAAATATCTTTATCTATTAGAGTAGATTTTATCAAAATGTGACTCGTGTCACATTGTATATGGGTAGGAAGACACTAGAAAGAAAAATTAGGAGGATATTTAATTTCTCATACATTGCCACTGTTTGGTAGCTAATTATTAGTCTTTACATTATTTTAAGATTAAACTTTGTTAGCTGATAAATATAGCCTTAGATTAATTGTTCTAATCTTCTTATAATAATAAGTTAGGTGTAACATCCATATATTATATAGATTTATTTAGAAGAAAATTAAATATGAAACTTTAAACATTTGTTTAGTTGAATTTATAAGAAAATTAAATATCGAATTATCAAAATTAAAGTATTTTTTCTTTTATAAATTTAAATAAATAATTTACATAAATAAACAAATGAAACTAATAAGACTTTAATTTAAGAATTTTAAAATTAAAAAGTAAGGCCACTAATAAAATTGATTTTCATTTATTATTATTTTTATTGCAATTATTTCATCTAAAATGCTACGTAGAATATAGTAAAATACAAAAAAAAAAAAAACATAAAATGATATGTGAAAAAAGAAACTAATTTAAAAAAACCAAAAAATGATATACGAAAAAATTTCTTTATTTATTAGAGTAGAATAATAGTTTTTATTGTCCATTGTCACTTTCTCATAATTTACTTTTTTTTTTTTTTCAAAATTTCTATAAAATTGACATTTGTCATTTTCTCATCATATTTTTTTAAAGTATTGATGTTGATAATAGTTTGGTAAATATTTACTTATTTATTATTATTATTATTATTATTATTATTATTATTATTATTATTGTTGTTGTTGTTGTTTTTTTTTTTTTTTTTTTTTTTTTTTTTTTTTTTTTTTTTTTTTGTTTTTGTTACTACGCAATTATTTAAATTTGTCTTTAATAATTTTCAGTTAACATTACCGAAAGTTAACTGTATTTCTTTAATTAAATCCTACAAAATCATGTTTACTTAACTAATAATTGAAAACAATTGATTAATAATTATGAGTTTTTACTATAAAAAATTAATTATTTTTATAATTGCGGTTCTTACAGTTATGAGCTAGTCACACTGTATTTAAAGTGCGTTCTAGTTTTTCTCGCATGGGTTTCCTTCCAAAATTTCATGTTCTGGTTCATCTAGTTGATTCTCTTTATCTAGGGATGTCAAAAACCATGGTGACGCTCAATTTCAGTACGAAGGGTATTTAGCAATGTTTTTGGGATATGGGGGAGCGACAGAGACAGGACAGAATGGGGAGCCCCGTTTGAATACATGTCCCCCACTCCCCACCCCCCATATATATATATATATATATATATATATATATATATATATATATATATATATATATATATATATATATATATATATATATATATATATATATATATATATATAGTCAAGATCAAATAAGAAAGAAATTTTTGGTAGGAAGGTAAAAAGTTTTTTTCTACATATTTTTTTTCGTGAACAAACAAAATGAATCATTAGATGATTCACAAGAAAAAATTATTAAAAAAACATCTCGATGATTCATTTATACAATGATTTTGTTGTTATTCATTAAAATTATCATAAAAATGAATTTTTTTCTTAATTTACTTAAAAATGAATCATAAATATATTTTTTTGGGAATTTTTTCTTTGTGAATAATCTTACAAATGAATCATCTAGTGATTCATTTATTTTGTTCATCAAAAAAATATGTAGAAAAAAAACTTCTTAGCTTCCTACCAAACTTTTTTTTTTACCGGACATATATATATATATATATATATATATATATATATATATATATATATATATATATATATATATATATCGTTTGGCATTCTCCACCGCTGAGGATTAGGGTACTAATCGGAAATTTAGGATTTATTGGCTTGGGGGCGGGGGGGGGGGGGGGGGGTTAATCGGTCAATAAAACAAAAAAAAAAAAAAAAATTCGAAAAAAATGTCAAAATTAAAAAAAAAACTTTTTAAAAAATATTCAAAGAATAAAAAAATTTTACTCCAAAATTTTCAAATTTTCAAAATTTCAAATATTATACCAAAATGTTCATATTTTTGTATTTTCAAAATTTCAAATTACAAACTTTCTTATTTTCTAATTTTGAAGTACTTGTTTTTCTTAAGATATATTAATATTTGATTAATTTTAATATTTTATTAATAATTTATGGTCCGCGGTTAAACCCCGATTAATCTCCGCCAAGACCGATTATCCCCTTAACACCAGTCGACCGTCGAGCTATAAACGAACGATTTTTACAACCTTTATATGTATATATAATAATAATAATAATAATAATAATAATAATAATAATAATAGTAATTACCTTCTATTTAACTATATTTATTTATAAATAGAAATATTAAAATTAGAGTACTCATTGTCTACTTTATATATATATATATATATATATATATATATATATATATATATATATATATATATATATATATATATATATATATATATATATATGAAAAGTTAGTGTATTAGGTAAGGTTAAACAAACTAAATGAGTGAAAAATATGATAAACAAGGTTAAAGTGAGAATTTAGGGCCAATCAGGGTTAACAGGAAACAAGGAGGATGAGGGTGATCTTGAAATTCAGGTTCACGGTTTGGGGTTGGAAAACGAGTGTGTTATCATAGGCAAATTCTTGAAATGTGTTAAATCAAGATAATATCAATTTTCTAAGCCTACATAGGTTTCCTTCATTTGATTTCTTTCTTAAACATGCAAAGGTTTTGTCAATTTATCCTACACCGATGCAGGTTTTGTTGATTTTCTCTAAGCATGCGTACTTTCAAATTAGTTGTCTTTTATACCTTTTAAGGTGTCATTGAGAAAATGACTTCAATGAAATATGATCTGCCACTATTAGATTGTGATACCAGTTTTTCTTTATGGTAAGTTAAGATTAGAGCATTAGTGACTTAAACAAATTATGATGATTCATTGAATTCTTTTTAAAGCCAAAAATCAAATCAGACTAGACTAAGAAAAAAGAGAAATATTATAAAGACCTATTTCAAATTCAACTTCATTCTCCCAACATTCTACAAGCAAGAAGTTCTAAAGGAGAATTTTGAAACTGCTTTTTGGCTCAAACTGAAATCTATATGGATGAAAAAAAAAACTTACCAATTAAAATGCATTTATAGCACAAGTTGTTTCTATACAAATTACAAGATGAATGAAACCTTATCATTCATATTTTTTGATTTCAAAGGGAAAATTTCCAATGTGGAAATGATGGAAGTGAGGTATAATGAGGAACATTTGGGTTTGCTTTTGTTATTTCATTATCGTGATCATATTCTAATTTCAAAAACACCATACTTTATAGTTGTTACCCGCACTCTCAGTGAAGTTTATTAACCTTGTATGCTAAGGAAAAATATGAAACAAATGATACTTTTCGATGAACCTGACATGCAAATATTATAAATAAAAGGGCGAAACTTAAATAGATTCAAGGGTAAAGAAGATGACAATTCTACAAACTAAGTTTATGAAGTTCTAAATAAGAGGTTTTTGTTGTTATTGTTGGATATACCAACATTGATGATGAATATTGGTTCTTGATTGTGATTATACTTACCTTATGTGCTAACATAAAGAATGGTTTACCACCTTAGGACGATTTCAAAAATCAATTGATTATGAAAACGGTTTTCAATGAGGATGAGATAACGGTCCTATCGGCTATCTTCAACCACGCCGTCGTAAATACAAAAGTAAAACAATACCCCCTACTTTTCCACTTTAGTGTAATTCTTGCATAACTCGTCTCCAACCGTTCTAAACGATGGTGTACACTGGCTTAACTCTAGAAAATCTAACATTTAAGGGCCGATATAGAGACTACAAGATTCCTAGAGATTACTTTACCTTTTTTGACCCTAAACCCTAAACCCTAAACCTTAAACCTTAAACTCTAAAATTTGATCCTAAACTCTAAACCTTAAACCCTAAACTCTAAAATTTGATCCTGAAAGATGAATGGATTGGAAGAGAAGACATCGCTTTTATGCTTCGTCTGAATGGGTGATATTTCTTGTAGTGACATGTACCGATCAATTTGATTAATCGGTCTACACTTTTAAGTCTAAGATTCGGAAGTGATTGTGAAGCATGTATTTCACAACATTTTAAATTTCAAATATAATATGGCTAAAAATATCTAGAATCAATTGAATTATTGCAGTAGATCCACAAGACATTTGATGACTTATTTCTTACCACTTGAAGAGCTCCATTATAATTACCAGCCACTCCGGTTGAAAGCACTTCTAAAGTCATTGCTCTTGAAACAATGCCAGAAAACACATTTGACCATTGATGCTGAAAAAATCATGGTTAGATTAGTGAGGTGATTCATAACGGATATAAAAGTAACCACAAAAAGATAGCATGTTTAGTAAATATATACCACATCCATTAGAATTTCCACAACAGTCATATGATTCATGCTGACGACCATCGATTCTCTTGAAGCTTCAGATTTGAATCCCATTAGTTTCGGTCCAATGCCTCTAGGAAATGACCGCACATACTCATCTTCGCTTAAAATCTCATGAGAGTTATTTGATGTTGGAACCCACAAGGGCTCGCAAACCTGAGCCTTTCTAACTAGTTCCTCCATGGCTGTAACAGCTAGATCAATGATAATAGGTTTCTCAGTCTCAGTAGGGCCAGCTAAGGACTGAAGAAGGTCGTTTTCACCAAAACATCTCGCCTACTATCCCTTGTTGTGGACTAAAACTAGCCACAGGTAATTCAAGTGAGCGAAGGGGTCCTTGAGACGATGCATCAGGGTTAGAGAGCATTGGCTTGCCAATATACTTGGCAGCAATTCCTGATATCCTATCAATCTGTTAAAAAATCCAAAGAAATAACTTTGGTATGTTATAAAAATAGCACATACTATGCTTAAACTTGTGAGGAAAATATTATTTCTTAGGGTAAAATCTAACATACCTCTTCTCGTAGACGAGCATTTTCAATCTTCAACTGTTGTTCATCAAAATACATCTCACCAATAGCAGTTGGGCCTCCACAGTTAGGACACATGGCGTTTGCAAGGGCTTCCTTGTACCGTACGTTCTCTGCCTGGAGCTTTTCATTTTCATTCCTTAGCTTAGAGTTATCAAAGCGTTCATGTTGAGCCTAAAAATATAAGTGCAAATACAATCAACATTCGACTAGGTGTGTTCCATCACAAATAAATTAATAACAAGTAATTAATAAATTGTATATATTCATTACATGAGAGGAAAAAAGGTTAAAACAGCTAGCTAATTAGTGTCGTTAGTTATTATACATTTAGAAAATTGCAACTATTTAAACCAATTGATGTCTGATTACCAAAATTAATAAAGGATCATGGATGTATATATCATCATAAATAAAATTTCTCCATATAGGACCAACTGACTCGGATACACCCGTTCAAGATTTATTCCTGTGTACATATTATATGCTTTGAACAATATGGAAATTCCTATATTGAGCCTCTCAGCTCTAATAGACAACCAACTATACAAATTACTAAAGAGATCCAGGATCATATTATAGTCACCTATGCAATTAAATTGTATAACATAAACCAAAAAAAAGTTGTACAAATCACATAGCAACTACTTCTTTGAACCTTATAGTACAAATTTGTGTTTTTATGCAAGTTACTTACCTTCATTTGTGTTCGTTTGTTCTGGAACCAAAATTTAACCTGCAAAGGCTCCAAGGATAGTCTTCTTCCAAGTTCCTTTCTTTGCTTATCATCGGGATGGGGGTACTCTTTGAAAAACCTACAAGTATATGAATTAGTATAAAGGTCAACAACCGAAAAGAGTAATTCAAACTTCTCTCCTAAAAGGAGTCAAGGAAGGATTAATAACATGTATAATCTGTACTCACTTCCTTCCAAATTTGTATTTAATACAAATAATTTTTATGATTTCAGTAAAAAAAACACGAAATTAAAGAATTTTATCCGTTACTACATACCTGAGCTGGGTTCGAACCACACCCATTAGAGTGAAACCAAAAAAAATGAGATATTCAAGATTAGGGTAAAAGAATAACTCACGCTTCCATTTCCTGGATTTGAAGCTGAGTATGGCGATGGTAGCGTTTCTTTTTATTGGCATGTTGACTAGGATCTTGATCATCGCCTGAAACGGCTTCCATGATATCGTTCCCTGATTTACTATCAAGATAGTCATCTCTGAGCCTAAGAAGATTATTTTCTTGGGCTCTATGACTCATATCAAGAGGATGATGATGATTTTCAATCATGTTTGGCTGAAACATCTCTCCTTTCAAGGCTGTTTCTGCTCGAATTTATGAAGAGCTTAGCTTGAGGTTGATAATAAAAATTAGATAATGATTTGTACACAACAATTTTTGGCGATACACAACAATTTATGTATTATGTAGTTGTACAATACAAATATATAAAACATAAATTATTGTGTATGGCTAAAAACTATTAGGTACGTATGAGTATTATAAATTTCTTAAAACAAAAAATATATAATATATGATACATCCATTAAAAATACATATATCCAAGCTCACAAGAAACAAATATTGTTGTGACTCTCATTAATTTTCCACATTAAAACAAAAAAACTTTAAACATAAATAAAGTCAACTTTTGACTAGCAAATTGCACACATAAACACAAACGAAATACACCTATATATTGCAGAAGAAAATATGTTTTTATTTTTTGAAAAAAGTCAACTTTTAATGACTTTGAACTTTTTTTTTACTCTCTCTCTCTCTCTCTCTCTCTATATATATATATATATATATATATATATATATATATATATATATATATATCCCTTCCCTATCTCTCTAGAAAGAGAGGTATTTTGTGAGCTTTACTTTTTTTGATAAAGGGGTATGTTAACGGTGTGTGTGTATGTGTGTGTATATATATATATATATATATATATATATATATATATATATATATATAAGAGGAATTTAAATGGAAAATTCTATTAATTACACTAAGACAAATATAACAAATATAATTTTCAACCCATCTGGCTTATGAAAGACCAAATGTGAGAAAATTTAGCCCAAAATAAATAAAACATACATCAGTTCAAAATAAAATATATCCAAAACCTCTGTATGTATTTCAATTTCATACCTTATCTTCTCTTTCAAAGTAGAACATCGTAGATTAATAATCAGTTTATCACTTACAAAATTGGAGAAGATCGACTTACTGTTTTTTTTTTCTTGTGATGCTTAAAGTGAAAGATCTAGTATTCGAGGAAGAGAACAATACTAATGGAAAACCACTTTCAAGATAGTAAAGAGTAATTTCAGGTGGTGTTGGAATGAAAATCACCTAATTTATTATGAAAAAAAGTCTTAGAGAGAAAGAGAGAAAGAGAGAGAGAGAGAGAGAGAGAGAGAAAGAGAGAGAAGAGAGAGAGATAGAGATAGAGATAGAGAGAGAGAGAGAGGAGAGGAGGTAACAAAAGGAAGAGGTTAGAGGATTGAAGAGATGACAACCAAAGAAGGAGTTAATGCAGAGGTATGTAGAGGATGTGCATATGCATTAATTATAAAGGTTTGAAGTTTTAATTGCTTGGAGGAAGAGAGAGAGAGAGAGAGAGAGAGAGAGAGAGAGAGATAGAGAGAGATAGAGAAATAAAGAGAGGTTGCAGGATCTGCGAGGCGGTTCAATCAGACCGACGACCCATAGAGAGGTTCGGATTGGCTGTAGGTCCTACGAGGTGATCCAGTCAGGCTGGCTGCTCAGATTTGTATGCTTGTTTGCTATGTGGTGTGTTGGTACTTTGGGGGAACTCACTAAGCTTTTGCTTATAGTTTTTAGTTTATCATTTTAGGTACTTATATGGATCGTAGGAAGGTAAATGTGTGATCATGCACATCTTCATTTTTTAAGTCATTGGGTCTTGGAAAAACTCTGATACTGATTTAATGCTTTCGAAAACAATGACTCTTTTGTAAAAAATGTTGGTTAATGGTTCATTTTGAAAATTTAAAATTTCCTTGATTTTTGGAGTGTTACAAGTTTGTATTGAGCCTTGGTTTGAGAGAATTAGATGAACATTCGTGTGAATCCATACTCAAACTAGAGAATTGCAAAAGTTTTTAAACCGTTTTCAAAAGTTTTTTCAAAAAACAACCAAGGAAGGATGCGATGTGTACGATCAGTCGGAGAAAAAATGTTTACCACAAGTTACCTACACTGTTAGCTGTTATGATATGGTAGAACAACATGCTAGTTGTAGGATAAGGATCTTCAAGAATTACATGATAGAATTGCTTGTTGTATGATGCCTTATTTCCTATAGATTTTTCTTGTTTATTCTTGTAGAACTCTTTCAGGTGTGAATTGACTATTAATTTAATACTTTAAGTCACATGCTACATGGGTTAAATAATTGTAAAGTGAAGGATTTGGTCCTATTGTGCAGCTCTTGTCTGAGTCCAACCATTGTGGGGTTGAATCTTTTAATCTAAGATAATTTAAGTTATGTTGCATGTGATTGTATTCATGCAGTAGTTAACTGGCATCAATGGATGTCGTTTGATAGTTGATAGTAGGGTGATGTGTGGATCCCAGGATATCCTAGCGAGTATGTAGTACCAATGATGTGTTTATTAGCAAGTATTGGAAGTTCTACGAATGGGGTATATATAAGTAGCCGACCAGTTCAGGAATGTCTAGCCTTTCTCTAAGGAGTGAGAATAGGATGTATTCATATTCTAGTGTGTGTTGTTAAGGTTGTTGTGATGATATTCTAAGACAAATGTACGTATGTGTGGAAGGTAGTATGGGCCCATACTACCGGAAGCACAAGACTCGTACGCGTAGCAGGAAAGTCACTACCCCCAGGGCTTCGTTATTTAAAATAGCTCAAATGGTATGAAATGTGACTTATCTGATGTTTTCTTGTTTATTTTCAGTATGGTGTTCACGAGGCTTTCTCGGATCAAGAGCAAGAGCGAGTGTCCATGATAGGTCGTGGATGACTGAGGATGAGATTAGGGCGTTGATTTCTTTTGAGGTTGTGAATGTTATCTGAGGTGAGATACGGGAGCTATTCGGATCCATCAAGACTGTCATGATTGAGTACTCTGTTGACCATTACGCTGCACTTTCTGAGGTTGTTGTTATTGCAGCTACCACGCCCGCTGCGGTCGTTGAGTTTCATGGAGATCGAGGCTTCTAGTACCGAGACTTCGACAATACGAAGCCCCAGTGTTCGATGGGGTTCAGGATCCGATCATTGCTATGAGGTTGTTTTCTAATGTCGAGAGATATTTCTTTACTTGCTCTTACCCAGCTGAGCAGAAGGTCAAGTAAGCCTTCAACCTTCTTTGGTTGGGGGAAAAAGATTCGTTTGAGGTTGGTTACTAGCTCTTACACTCTAGAGTAGAGGGCTACTATATCATGGGAGTAATTATCTGAGATGTTCCGCACAAGATATGTTCCATTGGTTGAGAGGGAGAGATTGGCCGAAGAATATTTGGATTTGAGGCAGGGGATAGAGTCGGTGACAGAGATAACCAAGATATTTACTTAGAGATCATTGTTTTGTCATGAGTTTGCTGCTTCTGAGACATCTCAGATGAACCGATACTTCAGCATGCTCAAGATGGACATCCACCGATTTGTGTCAACTCAATGTTATGGTGCACTTGTAGAGGTACAAAAGGGCCGCTAGGAGGCGGGAAATTGAGTTGGAGCTCCAAACGAGGGAGACGAGGTAGGATTTTGTGCAGTCACAACCTGCGGCGAAGCTGTTCAAGGGCGTTGATGTAAGATATAGGAGTCAGAGGGGCCTAACTTGTGGCAAGTTTAGCAAGGTTATTGAGCATCCTTGTCGATCTGCTTTAGGGTGCCAAAATGTGGTATGGAGGGGCATTACGCCAAGGATTGTCGCCAGTAGGTTGACACACCGACCACCAGGATTTGTTATCACTGTGAGCAGGTTGGCCATATTAACACCAACTATCCTTTACTCACTACATGACCAGCGCAGGCCCTAGCGCCAACTACTTTGAGGATCACCGATGGGCACTAGGGTAGG